TCAGCTGAAATCCTAAGGCGAGAAGAGAATGGCATGATGTATTTAAAGTGCTAAAAGGAAAAAACCTACAGCCAAGAATACTCTATACATCAAAGTTCTCATTCAGATTGGAAGGAGAAATAAAGAGCTTCCCAGACAAGCAAAAATTAAAGGAGTTTATCACCAAGAAACCAGTTCTACAGGAAATGCTGAAGGGACTTATTTAAGTGGGAAAGCAATGACCATAAATAGGGATAAAAAAATTATCCAAAAAAATAACCCCCCCAAAATAAACAGGCAATAAAATCACTGGTAAATGTAAAAATATAGTAAAGGTAGCGGATCAACTACCTGTGAAGATAAGATGAAGGTTAAAAGACAAAAGTACTAAAATTACCTACTTCAATGATAAGAGGGTAATGGATAGACACACACTAAACAGGACATTATATATGATTTCCAAAACGTAAAATGTGGGAGGAGCGGAGTGACAAAGTAGAGGCTTTAGAAAGAGGTTAAGCTAAAGAGTCTATCAACTCAATATAGACTGTTATATACATAGAATATTATATAGGTTCCTCATGGTAATCTCAAATCAGAAACCTATAATAAGCAAATAAGTAAGACAAAATAAATCAAACACATTACTAAAGAAAGTCATCAAACCACAAGAGAAGAGAGCAAGAGAAAAAGAAAGGAACAGAGAACTACTACTAAAACACCCAGAAAAAAAGTAATAAAATGGCAATAAATACATATTTATCAATAGCCACTTTAAATGTCAATGGACTAAATGCTGCAATCCAAAGGCATAGGGTGGCCAACTGGATAAAAAAAGAAGACCCATATATATGCTGCATACAAGAGACACACTTCAGATCTAAAGACACTCACAAACTGAAAGTGAATGGATGGAAAAAAGATATTCCCATGCAAATGGCAAAGAAAAGAAAGTGGGGTAGCAATACTTTATATCAGACAAAATAACCTTTAAAACAAAAACTGTAACAAGAGACAAAGAAGGGCACTACATAATGATAAAGGGAACAATTCAACAAGAAGATATAACACTTGTAAATATCTATGCACCCAACATAGGAGCACCTAAATATATAAAGCAATTACTAACAGACATAAAAGGAGAAATAGACAGTAACACAATAATAGTAGGGGACTTTAACACTCCACTTACACCAGTGGATAGATCATCCAAACAGAAGATCAATGAGGAAACACTGGCCTTAAAGGACACATTTGACCAGATGGACTTAGTGGATATATGTAGAACATCCCATCCAAAAACCACAGAATAGACATTCTTTTCAAATGCCCATGGAACATTCTCCAGGATTGATCACATATTATGCCACAAAACAAGTCTCAATAAATTTAAGAAGATCAAAAAAATACCATGCATCTTTTCTGATCACAAAGGTATGAAACTAGAAATCAACTACAGGAAGAAAACCAGAAAAGCCACAAAAATGTGGAGATTAAACAAAGTGCTACTGAAAAACGATTAGGTCAATGAAGAAATCAAAGGAGAAATCAAAAATTCCTGGAGGCAAATGAAAATGAAAATAAGACATGCCAAAATCTATGGGATACAGCAAAAGAGGTTCTAAGAGGGAAGTTTATAGAAATTCAGGCCTACCTCTGCAAAGAAGAAAAATCCCAAATAAACAATCTAACAGCACATCTAAGGGTACTGGAAAAAGAAGAACACAGAAATCCCAAAATAAGCAGAAGGAAGGAAATAATAAAAATCAGAGCAGAATAAATGAAATAGAGAGACTAGAAAAATAATAGAAAAAATTAATGAAACCAAGAGCTGGTTCTTTGAAAAGATAAACAAAATTGACAAACCCTTAGCTAGACTCACCAAGGAAAAAAAGGGAGAAGGCTCAAATAAGTAAAATCAGAAATGAAAGAGGAGAAATTACAACAGACACCTCAGAAATACAAAAGATAATAAGAGAATACTATGAAAAGCTATATGCCAACAAATTGGATAATCTAGAAGAAATGGATAAATTCTTAGCAACATATAACCTTCCAAAACTGGACCAAGAAGAAGTAGAGAATTTGAATAGCCCAATCACCAGTAAGGAGATTGAAACAGCAATCAAACACCTCCCAAGAAATAAAAGTCCAGGACCAGATGGCTTCCCTGGTGAATTCTACCAAACATTCAAAGAAGACATAATACTATCCTTCTCAAACTCTTCCAAAAAAATTGAAGAGGAGGTGAGGCTTCCTAACTCATTCTATGAAGCCACCATTATCCTGATACCAAAACCAGTCAAGAACAACACAAAAAAAGAAAATTACAGGCCAATATCACTGATGAACATCAAGGCAAAAATCCTCAACAAAATACTAGCAAATCAAATACAACAATACATTAAAAAGATCATACATCATGATCAAATGGGTTTCACTCCAGTGATGCAAGGATGGTTCAACATCCGCAAATCTATCAACGTGACACACCACATTAACAAAATGAAGAATAAAAATCACATGATCATCTCAATAGATGCAGAGAAAGCATTTGACAAGATGCAGCATCCATTTATGATAAAAACTCTAAATAAAATGGGTATAGAAAAGGAAAACACCTCGACATAATAAAGGCCATATATGACAAACCCACAGGAAATATCATTCTCAATGTAGAAAAACTGAAAGCTATCCCTCTAAGAACAGGAACCAGACAAGGATGCCCACTGTCACCACTCTTATTTAACATAGTATTGGAAGTCCTAGCCACCACGAAAATCGAGGCAAGAAAAAGAAATAAAATGGATCCATATTGGAAAAGAAGAAGTGAAACTGTCTCTTTGCAGATGACATGATTTTATATATAGAAAACCCTACAGAATCCACTAAAAAACTTTTAGAAATAATAAATGAATACAGTCAAGTTGCAGGATACAAAATCAACATACAAAAATCGGTTGCATTTCTATACACTAACAACGAAGTAGCAGAAAGAGAAATTAAGAATGCAATCTCATTTACAATTGCAACAAAAAGAATAAAATACCTAGGAATAAACTTAACCAAAGAGGTGAATGATCTGTACACTGAAAACTATAAAACATTGTTGAAAGAAATCAAAGAACACACAAAGAAATGGAAAGATATTCCGGGCTCTTGGATTGGAAGAATTAACATAGTTAAAATGTTCATACATCCTAAAGCAATCTACAGATTCAATGCAATCCCTATCAAAGTTCCAACAACATTTTTCACAGAAATAGAACAAAGAATCCTAAAATTTATATGGAACAACAAAAGACCCTGAATAGCCAAAGGATTCCTGAGAAAAAAGAACAAAGCTGGAGGTATCACACTCCCTGATTTCAAAATATACTACAAACCCATAGTAGCCAAAACAGCATGGTATGGCACAAAAACAGACACACAGATCAATGGAACAGAATCGAGAGCCTAGAAGTAAACCCACACATTTATGGACAGCTAATATTCGACAAGGGAGCCAAGAGCATACAATGGAGAAAGGAGAGTCTCTTCAATAAATGGTGTTGGGAAAACTGGACAGCCACATGCAAAGAATGAAAGTAGATCATTACCTTACACCATGCACAAAATTCAACTAAAAATGGATTAAAGACTTGAAAGTAAAACCCGAAAGCATGAAACTTCTAGAAGAAAACATAGGCACTATGCTCTTTGACATTGGTCTGAGCAGTGTATTTTCAAGTACCATGTCTGACCAGGCAAGGGAAACAAAAGAAAAAATGAACAAATGGGACTACATCAAACTAAAAAGCTTCTGCACAGCAAAGGAAACCATCAACTAAACAAAAAGACAACCTAACAATTGGGAGAAGATATTTGCAAACCATATATCAGATAAGGGGTTAATATCCAAAATATACAAAGAACACATACAGCTCAACAACAAAAAACCCAACAACCCAATTTAAAAATGGGCAAAAGATCTGAACAGAGATTTCTCCAAAGAAGATATACAGATGGCCAACAGGCATATGAAAAGATGCTCAGCATCATTAGCTATCAGGGAAATGCAAATCAAAACTACAATGAGGTATCACCTCACTCCAGTCAGAAGGGCTATAATTAACAAGACAGGAAACAACAAGTGTTGGAGAGGATGTGGAGAGAAGGGAACCCTCATACACTGCTGGTGGGAGTGCAAACTGGTGCAGCCACTATGGAAAGCAGTATGGAGTATCCTCAGAAAATTAAGAATAGATCTACCGTATGATCCAGCTCTCCCACTGCTGGGTATTTATCCAAAGAACTTGAAAACACAAAGGCATAAAGATACTTGCACCCCTATGTTCATTGCAGCCTTATTCACAATAGCCAAGACTTGGAAGCAACCTAGGTGCCCATCAAGGGATGAATGGATAAAGAAGATGTGGTATATATTTACAATGGAATACTACTCAGCCATAAGAAATGGTGAAATTCAGCCATTTGTGACAACATAGATGGACCTTGAGGGTATTATGCGAAGTGAAATAAGTCAAAGGGAGAAAGTCAAATATTGTACAATCTCACCCATAAGTAGAAGATAAAAACGACGAGAAAAAAACACATAGCAATGGAGATTGGATTGGTGGTTACCATAGGGGAAGAGGGGAGGGGGAGAGCAAAAGAGGTGATTAGGCTCACATGTGAAGGTATGGACTATAATTAATTTTTGGGTGGTGAACATGATGTAATCTACACAGAATTCGAAATATATTACGATGTACATCTGAAAGCGATATAATGTTATAATCCAATGTTACTGCAATAAAATTTAAAAGAATAAAAAATATAAAAAAAATTTGTCTAGCACATCTTAAGAATTATATGTTTTGCCAATGTAAAGTCATCTTCTCTATTTAATAGGGGAAGATAGTGTCAAAAGGACAGAATTAAGGAAAGAATATCAAGAAATTGTTATGAAAATAATTACATCCTTATGAATTAATAATATGTTATTTCTAGATGTTATAGATTTCTTATTTTTGTTTCAGAAAATATGAAGATAATAAGCATAGTAAGAAGAAACTCTGTAATACCTTGGAACCTTAGATGACCTTGATTTCTAACGGCATCTTTCAGAAATTGTAATAATGAAAATATGTAATTATATAGAAGAGGATAAAACAATGAACAAACTGGTGGACTTAGAAGTATTAAACTATCTCTTATGTCCAGAAAAATTACAACGTTTATCTATGGTGTTTGTGTTCTTACTATTACAGTTTAATTTGAAAATAGTAAAAGCAGGGAAGTTTTTAAAAGTGAAGAAATGTATTTTGTTGACTTAGATAGTGATGCTAACACATAATTTCAATAAATAGCTAAAAGTTCAGAAACTTGCTGTTGTCATTGAGAGGTTCCACGTGAACTGGTATATACTCTCATCCATTTTGTTAAGACATCTAAAGAAATAGTGCAAATTTAAGCAAGTCTGGGTCTGGCAGTACAGCCACAATATCTTCTTGTCTTTTTAATAAACGCATTTAAAACTATAAACTTACCCCTAAGTGCCATTTGAGCTGATTACCAAACATCTCGATATGTACGTATTCTGATCATCATTCAGTTTTAAAGATTTCATACTTTCTCTTATTATTGCCCTCTTAACTCATGGGTTATTAGGGAATGTGTATGTGTTTGTTTTCCCAAATATATTGGTTCTTGCCACCTTTTATTGTTGATTTATCATTTAATTACATGGTTGTTAGAGAACTTTGCGTGATAAAATTTGAGAATTGTTATGAATTCTTATGTTTCACGTGAATTTGAAAAGAATGTATAGTCTCTGTATGTCCTTTTAAAATATGTTGCGTTCATTTGATTTTACAAATATTAGTTTTGTGCTTTAAAAATTTCTCCTTAAAATATTCCTATTTACTGGATGCAGGGCTGTCTTACATCAGGCTTTTTAATATACTTAAGTCTTTTAAATCTTTCCTAATTTTTGTCTGCTTGATCCATCATTTTCTTATAGAAATCTATTAAAGCCTGCTATTCTTCTTATCATTCTATTGAGTTTGACTTTATTTATTTTGAGAATTAATCCGAGGTATTTCTTCTTTCTTATCCTTCAATCAGATATGAAAATCTTAATTCATACTGTTGTATTATCCTTGAGTGCCAGAATGTCACACATTTACCTCAGAATGAATTGTATCACATACTACTATATAAAGAGAATATGGAAGATAAACTGTTCATGTGTCCATTTTATTCTCTCCTTTTAAATGAAAAGAAGTTATATGTCAACTATATCTCAATAAAGCTGGCAGGGGGAGAAAAAAAGAACATATGTATGTTACAAAAATTTTAAATTTGACTTAAATTTTGAACTTTTAAAATTGCCTGTCAGAGCATATTCAGGCTTATATGAAAAAATAAAACTAAGTCCAGTTACAGCACTTCTTGAAAAGATGGCAACATTCCTTGAAAAGCTACTTATTTTGAGTTTGCAGCCCACCATCCAACTCTGGAACAAAATACCTGGAGGGTTGGGACCACACAGCGGAATAGTATTAAAAGACACTGTCTAATATACGCTGAATATTATGAAAAGCTGAGATGATTCCAAGGGAGTGCTGCTTTGGCGCTCAGAAAGAGGCATTTGAACTCTGACCAAAATGCCCTGAGAGTGGCAGATGCTAGAAGGCAAAAGGTGAAAGAAGTTAAAAGACAGCATTAAAGATTCAGTCTGATAAAGCTGTCCTAAATGAAATGAATCCAAGATAAGAGAGTTTTGGTGGCCAGCACAAAGCATTTCTGGAAAATGTTCCTAATGTAGCCAGGAGAGATGCCCCCACCTTCCATCCCCATCCTTACTGCTCCCAAATGCTTGGTGTTCAGAGGGTCTCACTCACTACCCATGTCTCTGGTCTGAGGTGTATGAGGAAGCGGAGATTTGGAGAACTCCCCCACCTTCTGGTATACTGCCAAGCAAATAGTGCTCATTGGTTGGTTTGGGCATTTGTTTTATAGCATTCTTACTCCTTTTGCTATTTTAAAATCAATTTTATTCACTCATATATATGAAGGCAAATGATTAAGCCCCTGAAACAATATAGCAGGTAAGTTTATAGAAACCACATTCAGACCAGATTCTACAGAAATCTTTTTTCCTTAGACACTACTTTTGAAGTGAATAGAAGCTCTGCAAATATTGGAGACATGATAAGTGAAATTCTCTCTGTTGCCAAAATGTGTCTCAAATATTGAGACAAGCCACCAACATCTGCACCATTTACTATTGAAGTAAATGGTAACATAGTAATATTACCACTAGCCATGGTGGTCTAGTGGTTAAGATTCTGCACTCTCACCATTGCGGCCTGGGTTCATTTTCCAGTCAAGGAACCACACCACACCACCCATCTGTCAGCTGTCACACTGTGGTGGCTGCGTGTTGCTGAAAGCTATGCCACGGGCATTTGAAATACCGCAGGGTCACCCACAGTGGACAGGTTTCAGCAGAGCTTTCAGACTAAGAAGAAGGACCTGGCCACCCACTTCTGAAAAAACTGGCCCTGAAAACTCTTTTAATAGCAGCAGAGCATGAAGAGCATTGTCTGATATAGCCCAGGAAGGTGGATGGCACAAAAAGACCAAGCATGGTTCCACTCTGCTATACACAGGATCGCTGGGAGTCAGAATTGACTCAACAGCACTAACAACAACATTGCCAATAGTAGCAGTAACAGTATGTGTGGCTACACTCTTATGTAGAGGGAAAAGAGATACCTTCTTCTGACAGGTGTGCAAAAATATCTTGCAGTTTTCTGTATACTCTTATATGGACCTTCCAGAACCGTGTGGCAGAATTGCAACAATTATGAGAAGTAGAGAAAGTTATTGAGAAATAACAAAAAAGCACCAGGCCCAGACAATTGCACAGGGGAACTCAATTAAAATTCTAGAAATCAGATAGTCCAATGTTTTAAAATTGTTTCAGAGTATAGCAAATAATGAAAAATTTACAAATTAATGATGCAAGTATAACATAAATATCCAATCCTGATAATGATAGCACAAAAAACAAAACCAGACCTTTATCATTTGTGAGGATTGATGCAAGAATCCTAAATGGGATATTAGAAATAGATTCCCAAGCCACATCAAGAAAACAACACACCATGACCTGGTTTTTAACACCAGGGGAATAAAAATCTAGTTAGGATTCTTACTAATAGGTCTAAGAAGAAAAACCATGATTACCTCCACAGTTATTGGAAAAGCCTTTGAAAAAACTCAGCACCTATTTCCTATCAAAGCATTGCAGAAAATTACAATGAATGGATACTTCCTTAACATGATAAAATTAAGGTGGCCAGATGAAATACACATATGAAAAATGCATCTACTAAAAATTATTTGTTTATACGAAATTAGAATCTCATCAGGCATCATGTATTTTAATCTGCTAAATCTGGCAATCACAGATAAAATTTACATGCCTCAATCCTATAGATGGCTCTTATTTAATGGTTAAACACTAGAGGCATTTCCATTAAGGACAAGAACAATGCAAATGATCCCCACTATCCCCATGACTGTTACATTGTTCTGGCAATGTTAGCCAATGAAATTAGATAAGAAAAAACAATTACAGGCATAAAAGAAGCTCTGAATAACCAGGTATTAAAACATTTTTTAATGCCTCTATAATCAAAACAGTGTGGTACTTTACTTTGTACTAGCACTTGAGCAAACAAGTTGACAAAATAGAATAGAAAGTCTAGAAATACAACCAAGTACATATGGATATTTAGTAAATGATGACAGCAGTATCTTAAATCACTGGGAAAAGATGGATATTTTAATAAATGATATTGGGACAACTTGATAGCCATTTGGAGAAATATAAAATTTACATGCTACTCAAGAATAAGCTCCAAATGAATCAGAAATATAAATTAAACTGAAATTTTGCAAGTACTAAAAGAATATATACGGGAACCTCTCTGAAATCTGGGAATAGGGAAAGGCATTCTAACTATGACACAAAATCTGGATACAATAAAAAGAAAAAGTAGATTGACGCGTGGTCACAAAAAATAAAATAAAATTTTGTATGGCAAAAACACATTTTATGCAAGTTTAAAGATAAAGGGATAATATCTCTATCATATAAAGAAATTTATTAAGTTTGGAAAGGACATAATTGTACAGAAAAATGGGCAAAAGTCATGAACAATTCACAAATTTAAAAATTGCCCTTATATATGGAAAGTTACTCAGTCTCACTTATAAGTACAAATTAAAACTACACAGAGATATCCTAAACTGCCCCATCATGAGGTTGGCAAGAATCCAAAAGCTTGACAGTGCATTCTCTTGCTGACGTTATGCAGAAATAAACACTCTCATACACTGTTTGTGGGAATACAAAATGATACAACTCTTTTGGGTGGGATTTGGTAATATATAAGAAAACTATATAGCATTTAAAACCACAGTAAGATATTATTGATTGGCCTCTAGCAAGACTAAAAGACTGACCGTACAAGTGATGGGGAAGATGTGGTGCAAAGTGAACTCCCATACATTGCTGGGGGGAATGGAAAACAGCCACTTTGGAAAACAGCTCAGCATTTTCTTAATCAAACATATGCCTACCATACATCCCAGCCATTCCACTCCTAGTTGTTCAAGACAAATGAAAGTATATGTCTACCCAAAGACTTGTACATGAATGCCCTTAGCATCTTTATTTGTAACAGCCAAAAACTTGAAACAACCCAAATATCCATTAACAGGTGAATGCATAAACAGTTTCATATCTGTATAGTGGACCAGTACTCAGCAATAAAAAAGAACAAACTATCAATGTCTACAAATATAGAAATGGATCTGAAAATAACTAGTGACTGAAAGAAGCTAGACCAAAATAAGTACATGCAATATAATTCCATTTATAGAAAAGTCTAGAAAATTGCAATCTAATCAATAATGTCAGAGAATTCAAGTCTGTGGTTGCTTAGGAATGGGGGGACAAGGAAACTTTTAGAGGTAAATGATGTGTTCATTATTTGTTTTGGTGTTTCTTGAGTGTATGCATACATCAAAAGTCATCAAAATGCATGCCAAATATTCCTAAATAAGCCTGTAGAAAAATGACGGGACCATGTCAAAAGGATACAGGAGCTAGCATGAAGAGACTCCGACTGTGCAAACCTGGGACAATTTGGGCACCAGAATAACTAAGCATAGTAATGGATTATAACTCACTGACTAAAATAAAGAAGTCATGATTCTATACTAATGATACATAGATTCAGTGGATGGTGGATGGACGGATGGATGGATGGATGGACAAGAAGCAAAAGCTTTTTCTTATAGAATGTTGCCTAATAAATATAGAAAGAAGATGGAGTTTAAAACTCACTATTTCAATCATCATAGTAAAATTGCTCCAGGCAAAAATGGATCAATGGGTGCTAAGTCTCAGGGTGGAAGAAGAGGGAGAGTAAAGTTTGATGAAGAATAGGACATTTACATAGTCTCAAATTTTCTTCACACAGATTACTTATTAATTACAAATGGAAGAATAGTAACTATACAGTAGAGAAAGCAGGAAACACCTTAAACAAGTGTTTAAAATTAACATCACCAAAAAGAGGTAAATGGATATGTGTCTCAGGTATATTACTCTGAAAAGGTCACAAATCACTTACAATACATTTCTGATGGTTAATTTTATGTGTCAACTTGACTGAGCTAAGGAATGACCAGAGAGGTGGTAAAACATTATTTAGGAGTGTTTCTGTGAGGATGTTTCTAGAAGAGATTGACATTTGATTCAATACACTGAGTAAAGAAGATCTGCCCTCACCAATGTGGGCAGACATCATCCAAACTGTTGAAGGCCCAAATAGAACAAAAGGCAAATTCTCGCTCTCTCTTCTTGAGCTGGGACGTCCATCTTATCCTGCCCTTGGACATTGGAGCTCCTGGTTTTGGAGCCTTTGAACTCCAGGACTTACACCTATGGCCCCCCTGGTTCTCAGGCCTTTGGGCTCAGAGTGAATTACACTACTGGTTTTTTCTGGTTCTCCAGCTTGCAGACAGCAGATTGTGGGAATTTTCAGCCTCCATAACCACGTGAGCCAATTACTATAATAAATCCGTTCTTATAGATATCTATATATATATCCTATTGTTTCTGTTTCTACGGAGAACCTTGACTAATATAATATTCTA